AATTTTAATAGGCGATGATCAATGGAGATTTTTACATTTTTCAACTTCGCTCGCGATTTTAGAAGCCTAGAGCGATTTTCTACTAAGATATTTCTAAGATAGAAGGAAAGACCTTATTTCTGGATACAAGATGATATGTGTTTAATCCCGGTAACATCGTTATTCACGGGAATTATTCATGCTTTAAGCCGAACGTCCGTGAAAATTTATGGCAGAAAATTTCATGGACGTTCGGCTTTAAACATGAATAACCTTCTTCTTAAAAAAATATCTCAGTAGAAAATCGGTATGCACTTCACAAATCACGGGCGAAATCGCAAAAAACGCAAAAAAAAAAATGTGAAAATCTTCGCAAATTTTTATTTTTTTTTTTATGCTTTTTCGACTTCGCTCACAATTTTCGAAGCGTATAACGATTCTCTATTAAATATTTCTAAGATAGAAAGAAAGACCTTGTTCTTGGCTACAAAATGATATGTGCTTCATCTCGGTAGTATCGTTATTCGCGGAGTAATTTGCGTTTAAAGCCAAACGTCTGCGAAAATTTTTTCATAAATTTTCGGAATTTTTCATAATTCTGGCCAGAATTACGGAAAATTTATTGCATAAATTTTTCACAGACGTTCGAATTAAACACAAATAACTCCGCGAATATCAATGCTACCGAGATGAAACACATATCATTTTGTAGCTAAGAACAAGGCCTTTCTTTATATATTAGAAATAATTTAATAGAAAATCGTTATACACTTTGAAAATCGTGAGCAAAGTCTAAAAAGCATAAAAAAAATGAAAATTTTCACATTTTTTTAACATTAATTTTGATTTCGCTCACGATTTGCAAAGCGTATAACGATTTTTTTACTAAAATATTTCTAATGTTGAAAGAAAGGCCCTTGTTCTTAGCTACAAAATGATATGTATTTCATCCAGGTATCATCGATATTCGCAGAGTTATTTGCATTTAAATTCAAATGTCTGTGAAAAATTTCCGTTATAAATTTTCCGTAATTCTGGCCAGAATTATGAAAAATTCTGGAAAATTTATGACAAAATTTTCACAGACGTTGTCACCAGTGGTTCATGGTTCCCTTGAGGTTAAACCAGTAAAATGACTTAACAGTTCTTTTAAGGAGTTTATAGTCCTTCCCTGAATGTAAGACTGTTGTTCAATTGTTTTAGAAAGCACCACTAATTCAATTATTTTAGAAAGGGAATAAGATCTTTTGTTTAATTTATTCCAATATCTTTCAAGTTCATCTTTACTTTTAGTGTTAACATCAATTCATTAATTGTTTTTCAGTTTTATCATGGTTGAGTATTACTTCTATTCATCCAAGTTCAGGGTTTATAATAATAATTTATAATTAATTTCATTAATTCAGAAATAATAATATTATACAATTATATAATCAAGTATTTAAACTTATAATATTCATTATTCCTTTATTAATTATTATATATATTTTTTTTATATTTAATAATTATTTTTATAATTTTTATTTTATATTTTTAATATTTATTATTTTATTAATTCAATTGTAGAATAATTTTTACAAATGTTTATCTTGAAATTACAAATTATAAAATTAAATTTATCAATTTCAAATAAGTTACAAATTATCAAAATTCAAAATTACAAAATTGTAAACTAAAAGACAAGATAATTTCAGTCTCCTTTTTATATCGAAATATAATGATGTGCCATTACTGTATCTTACTGTATACTACTTCTATTGATTACTATTTTTTTATATTATTTACTAAATACAGTATATTTAATATTAATTGATAATAAATGTTAATAATTATTGTTAAATAATGATATGTAATAATTATTAATGTTACAAATTAATAATTATATTTGTATAACCAAATATCATATGAACACATAATCTTGTACTACTATTCATGGTTAATTAATATGCAGTGTTGTCAAGGGACACCTTCGGAACAATGTTAAAACAAAACTTATTTTTTTTAAAATATAAATGCACAAAATTTTACTTTAAAATCTGCTTTGAGCTATTAATTAAAGTTGTTTGAAATTGATTTTTATATATATTTATAAAGTTTTAATATCTGCTATTACAGAAAAAAAATATCATGATAATATAATACTAAAAACACCTACAATAATTAATAATAATCTTTTAAAATAATATTTAAAATCTAATTAGTGAATATTGATTTATGTAACAAATAGTAATACTTTAATAATTTTTCTAACTAATAGTCTGTAACACATATTAATTAGCCGCAGAATAGTAATACAAGATCATGTGTTCATGTGATATTTAGTTATACAAATATAACTATTAAATCATAACATTAATTATTATTACTTAACATTATTTAACAATAAATTATTAACATATAGTATTAATTAGTATTAGATATATTTAGTAAATAATATAAAAAAATAATAACCAATAGTAGTAGTATATACCTGCCACCCAAATTCAAAATCCAAATGCCGAAATCCCAAATGCCAAAATCCCAAATCCCAAATTATGATTAGTATTTTTTGCCGAAATCCCAAATCCCAAATTCCAAATACTAGTAATTTGGGATTTTGGCATCCCAAATCCCAAATGATTTGGGATTTGGGCAACACGTATATATCACATGACCTGATGATGCATGCAGATTCTATTATATTCAAATTCCATCTATGACACACATATCATATGATAGGTTAATTATTTTAACGAAGACGTCAAGTTATTAGGTCCTGTAGACCATTTCTCCAAAATACTTACCATAAACTACATATGCTATTTATTGGAGGACGTGCTAAAGTTTCTGTGCTTTGAATATTAATATTGGTGCAAATAAGATGCCTTCGAATTAACGTTTAAGGTGCTCAAAAATCTTACTATCAAGATTCTCAAGTTTGCTAAGTAACACATTTTCAGAAATATCTCTAATACTATTCAGTACCCACCAAATATGTATCAATTTCTCACCATCATAGTTAGTTCCATAATGAAGCAAATACCGATACTCTCTCCTTATAACATCTGATACTTCTTCCAGATAATTAATCATTCCTTGAAAATATTGTTGTTCATAGTCTGTTATGGGAAGGTGAATTTCCACAGGCTTAAAGCCTATATATTGAAATAGTTTTTCACATAATTCAGACATTATATAATAAACACATAATAATTATTAGTAAAAATTCTTCGTTATCGTGTTAAAATTCTCACAACTATTTACCAGTGAAATTTATGAACCAGTTTTGATACTTATATCTGAGAATGGAGCATATGTCTGAAATACATTTTTATTCATGCGGTAATCACAGGTTATTTGTTGATTTCATATGCTCTGATCAATCATCATTCGTATCATACATAACTAGTTAATATATATATACAATTTATTTTATAACGGAGTTAGTGTCATCTGGAAGCTAGTTCGCACCAAGACACATATAAATACCAACACCCACCTTTTCGTAATAACTGCTTAAAGCCAGAAAAAGTCAAACCTAACTCAGAAAACATTTTCAACATATAACTTCTGAAACTCTTCATAACTCTAAAGATCCAATATCTCGTATTCCTCAGTATAAGATTAGGAATTATACAATCTGATTCTTTAGGGTACTTCTTCGAAGCATATCGACAAATAGAAAATAACTTTGCATTGGATCTGAGAAATAGAGCATTTCTATCTGAGTTAGAAAGATTAACAATGTTCTCAACAGTAGATAGTCTCGATTCTGCACCTTTATATATCGAAACAACTTCTTTATCTTTTAAGCGTAAACTTAAATCAACAAAAAATGAATCCGGTTTTAAGTATCAATATCAAATTAAATCTAATAGGTCTAAATCCCCTAAATACGGTATAAACTACATATAACTTTTATAAACACTACAAATAAGTCATATAAAATGGTTAACTTAAGTGAATTACGTGAAACTAATTGTACTGATGCTGAATGGTATGAATATTGTAAAATGCCACAAGTTCGTGATAATGAAACACCCAGTGAGTGGATAGATCGAATTTGGCCTCGCTTATAGTATTTCAGAAAGAATGATCTTTTACTTACTGAAAGCAAAAAATATCTTGAAGCTAGGAAATTGATACTAGTCCCTACTCTAGGTACATATGCTCCTGAAATTGGATTAGCAATTTGCTTCTCTTGTGATCAGTTAATATATACTGGAGAACGGACTGCAAATATAGGTAATTATAATCATATAGGAATGGAGAGACATTGGAAATTTTCATGTTCCGGTAATAAATACTGTGGTGTAAATCACGATGAATATTTGAAAATCAAGCAAAAATCCAATTCTGTATATAATTTTGATGATATGTATGCATTACATCGATATAAATTGTGGATGCAAAATGCTATCAGAAAAATCGAACATGCAAGAGAAGCTGGTAAAAAGATTCGAGCTGCAAAAGTCATACAACAAAAATGGATTAAATATATGTACAGGCCCGATGGCCTCTGTGCTTCAGAATTAGCTATACATTTTAAATTACTATGGGATATTCGAGAAGAAATACGTCAAATTAACAATGTATAGACCGTGTCTGCAAAGCAATACACATATCTATTTATCTAATTAATATATCTATTTATTTATTATATAACTTATTCATATATATATATATCTTTAAAATAAAACCATCTAAGGTATCCCTTGAGAGCTGATACTTTAAACCTTTATTCACTACTATTTTGTGATGATTAATAGCTTTTTTTGTTAAAATTTATGAAGTTTTAGATGTACAACATGTATTAGATCGAATTATAGTTTAACAATAAATAAAATATATAAACATATATAATTAACTTATCTTTTTTAAAAGGAATTAACCAATCCATCATGTAAATTCATAGAGTCACTTTCTTTGTATGCGTGTAAAGTTTTAGGTCCAGTAGGAGCAGTACCATAGCCTCCAGATGCATTAGATCCGAAGACAGTTTTTTCTGAATTCCCCAAAATCGTTGCATCACCAATATGACTTCACCATTTAGGAAGTGGCAATCTCAGTATAGGTGAATTTTCATAAGTATGTTGCCAGAGATTATCCGAATTCAATCTTTCTGTTGAGACCTGTGGAGATGCGGAACTGTAAACATAAATATTAAGTTTATCCGCCTCAGCAGATTTAGGTAATACCTGGTTTAAGTGTTGTATAAATTCTTCTTTGTGAAAGGGAGTTGAATTTTTTTGCAAGGGGGCAGATCTTTCTGAAGTAGAGAGGTGTCTAATAAAATCAAAGAAACCTAGTCCTGATATATGTCACATATCATCACCAGTTCGAAGTGATCGAATTACTCCAGCGATATTCGCTAAATGTGTGTTAGGGAATACATTACTAACTAGACTACCTTGTACCGCTTTTTCTGAATAGATGGCTGGTAATACCCCTTTAGCCGGATATGGTTTTTGTGATGAAGGAACAAAATTTCAATTCTGGTCTTTTATTGTTGCCAATAAAGAAATTCTAAATCACTAGGCAAAATTGGTCTTCGAAATATTCCAGTATTAAATGTTACATCCTGCAATGGCAAATTTCTTTCCTGATTTTCACGTTGCATCTCATCCATTGAATAGGGATTTGAAGTGAGGATTGGTCTTCGAAATGTCTCAGTATGGGATGTTATATCTTGTAATGTTAAATGTCTTTCCTGTTCTTCATGCTATATTCTGCTCATAGGATAGGAGTCTGAAGTGAGGATTGGTCTCTGAAATGTTTCAGAATGAGATGTTAGGTCTTGTAACGATAGGCGTCTTTGTTGATCTTCATGTTGCATCTCACTTAATGGATAGGTGTTTGATGGAAGAATAAGTTCTCTACTATTTTTAGGAATGGATTTTTCAAAACCGGATAGTAAAACTAATTGCTGATCCCCCTTTTGTTCTTTAGAATGTATAGTAGGTATAAGTGAGGCTTCTCCTGGTTTAGTTAATCAGAAATTTTTATTTTGACCAAATCCAGTTTCAGTTTGAACCATTCCCTTAATTGCTAAAATCATATACATATTGAATGGAGTATGTTTTGGTCCACTAGTATTATACCTGCCACCCAAATTCAAAATCCAAATGCCAAAATCCCAAATGCCGAAATCCCAAATCCCAAATCCCAAATTATGATTAGTATTTTTTGCTGAAATCCCAAATCCCAAATCCCAAATACTAGTAATTTGGGATTTTGGCATCTCAAATCCCAAATAATTTGGAATTTGGGCAACACGTATAACTAGTATCTTGTTGGAGATTCCACAATTGATCTGACTTTTGTAACATAATGTTTCTATTTTTCTCAGGAATAATATGGAAGCCGGTCGTATTACCATACTGCTGGGGGGTTCACGTTTGATCTGGCTTCTGTAACATAATATTTCTATCTTTCTCGGGAGTAGTATACGAACTGGGCACCTTACCATATTTTTGTACAGGTAATTTAGTTTCTCCCATAACATGACATCACGGCATATAAGAAGGCGCGTTATTGCCAGAATTAGTATACTTACGAATTAACTCATTATATGGGTGATAATCTCTACTGGAAAGTTTTTTTTTGCCACTCTTCAGGATTTCGCATTATCGTGTGTTCCGCATAATTAGTTTCACTAGGCAGGCCCACTTCATTAATTTTGCCTTCTCTTTGTATAGAGAAAACATGAGTGTTATCTTTAAGTTGATTATGTATCTTATTACGTCCAATCCTGATGGCTTGCTCTGTCCATGGCTTTTCAGGGACTTGAGTATCAGCATTAGTACCCATTCCTATAGTAAGACCGGTTTTGCGACGTTGCATTTGCTTCGAAATTTTATTAATATTAGGTCCAATCTGGTTCCCTCTGGGATCGTTTCCTAGAAATCCTAATGATAATTCAGGGTGCCGTATTGGATCAACAACTCGACCCCGAGAACCACGATATCGTAGATTCAATACAGATTACGATTGTGTTGGATCCCTACGTGGAAGATCACTCTCTAACCAGGGTTCTTCTAACTTCCGATCAACGATCTGCCCTCGCGCATAGTCGGTATAATAATCTTCTTGATCATGGAAAGCATCTACTTGGGCAATGGTATCAATAAGCAGTAGATCAGTTTCTTCCATTTTCCTATTTAATGCAGACGAAGGCATGCCCCCATAAGGTAAAGCTTGCCTATTGCGAATACAGCGAGTAGTTTTTGTACCATATATCAGAGGTATATAATAAATTATAAAAGATATTATATTTCGACTTGCGAAATTTTATCAAGTATATCAACGGCATTATGCCAATTTGAATCGGTTACATATTCAATTAACATGCCTCGTAAAAAGAATAGCGGGTCAAATTATCATTTAATATATGTATAACTAATTTCACACTATTTTTTGTTACAAACTAGAATTCGACAGAATTTTGACTCAGTATATCAATGAAATTCAATCGAGCATATACAGATTTAATAAAGCAGTTATCGCCTTCCTTAGTTGAAGAATCGTGGAAACATCTAACTACAAGAAAGCGTAATCCACTGACAGAATTAGAAGCATGTGGTATAGACCCAAATATTGAAGATTTTTTGCGATTTTTAGTAACAAAAATTTCTTGGCATTTTTCTTGTATTAAATCTTGCTCACACAAAATATTAGAATTATTATTCTCAGGAGTTGAGAGCAACTCTTGATCCTGAAGTTTCTTCTTTTTAACTCTTTGAATAATCTCTTTACTAACCCTTTCTTTACACTTTGAATCCAGAAATTCATTGATCTCCTTGTTCTCCAATGATTTACTTTCTGTGAGAATAAATGATGTAGTAGACTCCTGACGAATATCAGAATTTGAAGTGTTATCAGTTATATAAGATGCATTCTCTGTCATTTGTTTAGATGTATAATCTTGTGGTAAAGAGGTTGCAGAGGGTTCAAGTTTCATTAAAGATTCAGATTTTGTCGAGCTATCTTCTATTTCAGGTAAAGGATCAGGAATAATCATTTCTTCAGATGTGATAGCATCCTCATTCTGTGAGTCGATAAGTGGTGGAATATCTTTTGTAGAAGATGTGTCTTGGTTATTAGTGATGACTTGGGTCTGCCTGTTCCAATTTTGTGACTCTATCTTTTAGAATCGCATTCTCAGCAGTAAGCTTGACAGTATCTGTTTTATTTTTCTTTTCTAGTTCTTCAAATCTGATGTGGATTGCATGCTTGCCATTATTTTACATAAAACACAGTTATATTCAAAAGTTTAATCACATAACTGAAATTTCCGGACCCGACAGGAAAAAAAATGCTAAGTCATAGCGTACACTCTCCATATTACATGAAAAAAATCGCGTCAATGAGACTTTGCTAAAATCGAAAATAATCAATATTATGAAGGAAAAAATTGTACTAAGTTTGTAGGTCATGTGTTAGAATAAACCAATGATATCCAAAAATAGATCTTACGCGGTACCCACCATGTCAACCACCATGTCTACACCTACGGTATGGAAAAAATTAAATAGCATTATCAATTTATTTTGGGTCAAACACTGAACTTTTTATGTTCATAGGCAAATGCAGTTCATGAATATTTCACTCGATCCTTCTCTGACTGGGGTATCATAGATTTCCTATTCGAATGTAATCTGCAAGAATTTAGTCAAATGATAGATACTTACCTTAAATCTCTCGAGCTCATCTACGCTAATGATAAAGAAAAAAAAGGCGAACGGGCAAAGCAATTGCTTGATAGATATAGACAGGCGAGTTTATTTTAATATTTGTTTAAAAATATTGTGGCGTGGTAAGGGTCTGCTTGGTCCTTATCATTCAAGTCTTTTTGGCGAGTCACAAAGTTGGTGTTGGGGCGAAGGGATCTGCTTGGTTGCCTTCTAACCTTTAACATTGACCCCACTGGGACGGGAGAGATCTGCTTGGTTGTCTTCCGTTTGAGACTTCTAGTTGATCTGGTGGGATAAATTGGGTGGGAACAAAAAACATATATAGTTAAGATTTGCTAACTTTCCAAGTGTTCCTAGGGTGATAAACCGGATTATTATGCTGCAAGAAACTGGAAGAGTGTTCATAAGTTGCCCACGTTACAATTCCATAAACCAACTTTTGCAAGTACTTTAATAGGAAACGTAGGGACGGAGAGCATAAGTGGTGATATTCATTTTAATTTTCCCAGTAATGCAACGAGTACATCAAAAAGAAGTCAGGAAGAGGTATTGATGAACAATTTTTTACTAGAAGTCGAGAATAAGTCTACCTGACTAATTACTCGCGTTTTAATACTTTAGGTCGATAATAAAGTTCCAAAAAAAGTAAGAATCGATGATTATTTTCTCGTACATGATGACACCACTCCTTCTCAACATAAACAAAATCAGCAACCAGATCCAGAAAATCAGGTAGTTATGTTTTAATGAATACTCTGAAACAAAATGTCTTCTCACCTTTCAAATTCATTTACAGACCAGAACAACCAGAGAAACCTCCCCACCATCGATAAATTCGATGCATTCAGTGTATGTACCATCCCCCTCCGATTCTTCTATTAATGAAGAAGAATGTATAAAGGCAGGAAAGAAAACTTACCGTCTTTCTTACTTTACTGGTCCTGGTGTTCTCGAGTGGCACTTAAATGAACATTCAATACGAGTAGGTGTTTTGATGCAACATGTGATATGAATGAAAAATCATAGCTGTTTTTTTACCCACCATTCCTATCTTTCCAAACAGTGGATTGTAAGTGACGTTGACATTTCCGAGATATGTCTCGAGTATCGTGCAGAAGTGATTAAAAAATGTGAACCCATGGCGGTCATTCTGGATGCTTCCGAGGAACTGTTAGTATTATATTGTAATATTGATAATGAATGTACCACAACTAAGTTTTTCTTTTTTTTACAAGGCTTTAAGCCATATATTTGTTTTTCAAGAAGAAAGCCCCTGTGGGTTATGTGAGTACTTCGACGATGAATTATGGGAAGACATCTTTAACGAATTTCAAAAACTATATCCATATGTGTCAATTCCAAATACGATTTATGATTTGTTTGCAAACATCATTAAGGTAACGCATTGAACTTTTCTATTTCTTTCGAGAAGACAGTTCTAATCACTTGAATACATTAATATTTTCAGATAACGTGCGAGACGCAAAATCGTGGAGAACGGCAAGCAGTCGCAAGAAGTTTTTTAAAAGGTTATGAGATAATAACTGAAGAAGAAAGAATCATGGTGGAAATCTTCAAGGACTTGTATGTTACGTGCCCTGTAACAAAAAATTTTCTCTTAAGATATACTTATTCTTGCTTTATTATAGGATTGATAATGAGCAGTCTTCGTTCAAAAAAAATAATGGCATTGAGGATACACACGTCATTCAAAACGTCATTCCGATAATAATAAGGCCTTTTTTTAAAAATAATAGAAAAATTGCCATTGAAGGGTATGCATGTTGATGATTATTATATATGCGGTTTTTACATAAACTTATTTTTTTTTTGTTTTCATTCACAGCGCAAACAAAATGTCAGAGTCATCTGCAATTGCCAATAGGAGCTTTGATCCGATTCTCCTCGGTATGAAGCCAGATTTCACTGTCAAAACAACAAATCCTAAACAACACATTGAATTGCTTATTGGCGAGGTAAAACCACCAAATACGAGAGATGAACTTATTTCAGAAGATCTTGTTGCGCTTGGAAAAATGATGAAATGCGCTATAGACAAATCAATTGCAGATGGTGTTGATGATCAGGTCATCTGTGGACTGCAAATAATTGGTGAGTGAACAAGAGAATGGCTTCTTCCTTCTGTATTGGTTATTTACCTTTTGTTTTAGGATTCTTGGGAAGGGCCTATTTTATGGATCTTCTATATGATGGAATTTACCGTATGATTTTAATTGGAGAATTTGAGCTTCCAAAGAGCTCCATATCATGGGGTACTGTTTTGAAGTGCTATCAGATCATGAACACAATTCGGGTAAGTAAATGATAAAAAACTGTGGGGGGTTTCATATACATTTTCATTAATCTTGATGTATCTTTTCTAGGTCATAGTTAATAATGGAGCCACGCGGTACCAGTCCGCAATAAGAAAGAACTCAAAACAACCGGAATCAGATAAGATGAAAATGATAAAGCCGATGTTCCATGACCCGTTGAAGGTACCAATTGAGTAGGTGACATGCACTGATTAATGAAAATAGCGCATAATATCATTTAACTCATTTATATTGACGGTAATTTTGGATTAAACACTTGTAATAAGATTTATTAATTAATATTAAAAATTAATTTTCGAATAATGTATATAAAAATTTTTTATTTAGCCATAAGTTGTGCAGTCACATGATTTTGTTCGAAATCAGTAAACTGTAAAGTTTTAAGTTTATTCCATAAGACCCAATTCTCGAAGATGTTCTGGGATAACTATATATGGGTCTTCGTAGTACCAAACATACCTTAAAACAATCCAGTTTTCTTCGCACAATTCTTTCTTGAGCTGATCCCGTTCTTGTTGTTTGATAAAATTATTGAGATCTCCTCTATAAAAGAATTCGATATATTTTTCATGTTGTTTACCTTGCACCTCGATTACGAATCCGTATTCTGGATAAAATATATCTAATTCTAATCCCATTGAGTGTTCCGACGTTTTGAGAAAATTAGGTCGACGTATCTTAGATGGTGGTCCAAGATATTTTGATATAATTTCACGACATAAATTCTCTCTTTTATATTTAGAGCAAAACGGACACCATGTACCTAAAACTTTTATACTATTAGGATTAGCAGTCCATCGATGTCCAAAAGAACAGCACCATTCTAATTTATGAGACATGCCATAATATTCTTCTGATATTAATTTACCTCCTTTGGATTTAGCTAAATCGCGTATAAATTCCATTGAATACCTTGCATTTCCATAACAATGTGGGCACCATGTTCCATGTTTTATACATTTAAGTTTTGCATTCCAAATATGTGCTTGATGACATCTCCATACCATTGGAGTACGACAGTTGATGTATTCAGTTGAAAGACATTCTCCATTTCTAGCATATGCAATTTTTTGTGCATTCGTAAGAGTGAATAGGTGGTTTTTAGCACACCATGAGCACCATGTCCCTCGTTTTACATGATCAAGATTTGCATTCCAAATATGTCCTTGATGACATCTCCATACCATTATACCATTGATGTACGAGTATTGATGTATTCAGCTGAAAGACATTCACCACCTCGGCTCATAGCAATTTCATGAGCAACTTTTAATGATAATTTTGGAGCCATAGAGGATTAAAAAATATATTTTTAAACCAATTTCTCACTTTAAAAGAATGTCAGCGCCGAAGTCCATCACCACTTGAAAATTTATCATATAGTATAATCATGACTAATCAGGGAACTCAAACCCAAGATACTGTTCCGACCTGTAATCAGGCACATAAGTACCCCTGCTTTGCGTGTGAGGAAGAAATCAATTGTCGCGTTAAGAAAGAGTTAGATAGTTTATCCCTACAA